CAGACCAGCATGCAACCAATTTGAGGAAGGTGCACAGTGGCTCGGTTGCGGTGAAAAGTTTATTGATGCCAGCTTCCGCTGCTGTGTTGTCTGATGCAGTGGGAAGCACAAAGTTGAAGTGTCTGGAGTGCAGCCTGCGGCGCGCGAGCATTGCGAGTGCGAGCTGCGCGAGCGTTTCAAAGCATGCAATGTATGGCTGCGCCGACTTAGTGAGTTGGGGCCAGCGCCGTCGAATTTCAGTCATTGACCATGACTCTGAAAACCAAAGGAATTCGGTGGAGGTGCTAATCCAGCCACCTATGCCAACTGCGTCGCCTTCTGCCATGGCATCAGCGGCTGCCATGCAGTGCAACAAGGGCGACTGGCGCAAGGTGCGTAGCTGATCATGCTGGAAACACGCAGACAGCCAGAGCAGCGCTTGCCTGCTCTCGTTGCGATGAAGGTGAATCTCAGTGCGCGCGGGGTCTGAAAGGCGCACCCACTGAGGTTTATGTGAAGGCGGGATGCGTGGCACATCCTGCTTGCTTTGCACGGATACGGATCCGACTTCAAGGAGCTTGGACCCTGCGGTGATCCAAAGGCCTGCGGGCTGGTGTGCGACCACTGCCTCGGGTGTGAGGCTGTCCACAAAGCGCTGCCAATCTCTGGCGAAGACTTGATGAAGCGTGCCTTGGCCGCTGCGCAGGTCTTTGTAGAGCGGTGCGAGGTAAGGTCGAAGATGCGGGCATGTGCTTGTGGCCCACATGAGAAGTCCCAAGGAACTCTCCAGGTGCTTGCGAAGGATCTTCTTTGACTTGGCTAGCTTGTCAAGCTGGTCGCGGAGCTTGGCGAGCTTGCACTCGACCAAGTGCAGGGCCTCGATGTCAAGGTGAAAGGTCCAGCCGCACCAAGTTATGCGGTGCCCCAGCTGCGCCTTTTTCCAGCTGATTGGGGCGTTGATGGCTGAAATAAAGAACGTGAGGAGAACGGCTTGCTGCTGCCAGGTTGCCTGTGCGAGCATCGCCAAAAGGTCATCGACGTAGAGCCACGCATTGTGACCGTGCTGCTGCAGCAGTGCATGTGCGATGCGAAGTAGTTGTCCCCCAACGCGCTGCCACCAATATGCGCTGAATTTGGCGCCGAAGTGGCACACGGTGTAGTGGTAGAGTTGCGAGTCCACTCGGAAGAGGAGACACCCCTGCTCTCTGCGGTGCACTTTTACACATTTATGCGCTGCTTTGAAGTCCAGAGACATGCCGATGAAGTTGCCACGGCGATCCCCTTGCAAGAAGGTGCGCTGCACATCTAGCGCGGCGGGGAGACTGACGCGTTCCGGCACCTTGCAAAGGGGGTTGGCATTGCATATGGTGCTGTCAAGGACTAAGCGCGGGTCTTTTCCTTCGGCGGAGACAATGTTGAGCTTGCCTATGGCAGTGCCCTCCGGCCACTGGCGAGCAGCGTCGCTTGCATTGCCATGGAACGGAATGACCCATCCATTGTCAACTTCCTTCTGCAGGAGCTGGCGGAGCAGCTCAGGGTTCTGCTCTGCCTGAGTCCAGTTGCCTTGACAGTGCAGAAGGTGAAGTCCGTCCAGATCATCTTCCTGCAGCGTTTGCTGACGCTGCTGCCATTGAAAGCTGGAAGGAATGTCCTGCAGGATGCCCGCTGGCACGCCCTCCGCAAGGAAGCTGTGCAGTCTGCGGTCAGGATCCTTGGTGCGAGATGCAAAGGCTTGCAGAAGCTTTAGGCGAAATGGCTGTCCGGGCGTGATTTGCAGGCAGGCTGGGTCTTTGCACTGCGGATGCAGGAAAGAGTGAGCGATGGCGGCAACTTCTAGCTGCTGTGCTTCGGTGAGAGGGTGAGCGTCCCTGGCTTGGCAGAGGTGGCTGACGATGCTTTGCGTGAGGTTGCGCTGCGCGGCAAATTGCAGCCAGTGGGTTATCACGTCTTGCAGAGGTGATGGGGCGGCGCTTGCGTTGGAAGAGTCTGCCGAACTGTTCACGCCAGCCCCATCACATACGAGCGGTCTGCGATGGACCACCGGCTCCGGCAAAAGATTGCTGAAGTGCGAGAGTGGAACACGCTTGTGTCCCAGAGAGGAGCAGAAGGGCGCCATCAAGGCTGCGAGTTGCTTTGCCAGAGACACGGGATACTCTGCGGTGAGTGCACTGAGATAGGCATCATTGACTTTAACGTTGGCGATGGGCCTGTGCATGCCTGGGGGGCGCGTGCATGTGCATGCTAGCGATGATATGGATGGAAACGAAGCGCAAAGAGCCCAGGACTTGTACAGGTCCAGGCCGTGGTGGCATGCGGCGACGTGTGCGCAATGGGCGCATTGCTCCTGCAGGTGTGACATTGTCAGGCTGCAGGCAAGCCATCGACGAGGGTGGCTGTTCGAGACCTGTGTGACTGCCGGATTGCCGTGCGGTGCGTATGACTTGCCTGGAGCGCTTATGAATCTCAGTGCTTTGGTCAACCCTGGTTTGCTCGGCAGGGCTGTTGCCTTGCACCCCATCCATGAACTCTGGGGTGCGCAGAGCTTTGGGGCCGGGCTTGCGTAGCTTCAAGCGTGAGAATTCTTTGCATTGACGCCGGCAAAAAGGTCGAGGAAGAGTTTAGGTGCTGTGGGGTGCTTGGCGGCTGCAGTGCGTGCCGGCTCTTCTGATGAGCTTGTCGATGAGGAAGATGAAGAGCGGCGGCGCTTGGCC